GTCTAGGGCCAAGGCGGCGCGGCCGGCCGTGTGGGGTCCAGCCGTTCACCCACTACACCACGCCAGCAGCCCCAGTATGCTGTCCCTCACTGACCCCACACAGGTGCGATGGGGGAAGGACCCCCAGAGCCTAGGTGCCCTGCTGGCAGGACCGTGGTGGGCGGCCACCAGGAGGAGGCGAGCTGCCCCCCTCCGCCCCTGCCCTCCCCCCTCCCCCGGTGCCCAGGGGGTCCGCGCTCACCTCTGTAGGAGAACCACTCCATCCAGTGCTTGAACTCCCGCAGGTTGCAGTCGCACTCCCAGGGGTTGTCCCCAACCTGCAGCAGCTGCAGACTGGCCAGGGGTTCGAAGGTCAGCCGGTCCAGGTTCTGCAGGCGGTTGGAGCGCAGCGAGAGGGAGCGCAGGGCTGGGAGTGCGTCGAAGAGGCCGGGAGGCAGCCGGGCCAGGCCGTTGAGGGACAGGTCCAGGTGGCGCAGCAGGGGCGAGTGCTGCAGGAGCCCCCTGTCCAGGGCCCGGATGCTGTTGTTGCGCAGCTGCAGCTCCGTCAGGTTGGCCAGGTCCCCGAACACCGCGGGGGGCAGCTGGTCCAGGAAATTGTTGGACAGGTCCAGCCGCTGGAGGCTGGACAGGTTGGCAAAAGCCCAGCTTGGCAGGGTGCTCAGCTTATTGTTCAAGAGCAGGAGGGTGCGGGTGGCAGCGGGCACGTCTGGGGGCACCGCGGTGAGGCCCAGGCCACTGCAGTCCACCTCCAGGCTTCGGCCATCACACCTGCAGGAGAAAGGGCAGGCGGGGAGGGCCTCCACGGCACAGAGGGCGATCCAGCAGGTCACCCCTGGGGGACAGGAGAGAGAACACAGGCCGGGTTACCGCTCCGGCTCTCAGCACCACCTTTGAGAGAAGCCACGGCCAGCGCACCAGTGGTCTCTACCGCGCAGAGAGCGAACAAGTCCGAGGCCACCTCTGCTCGCAGACATCACAGGGCTCCAGCAGGGCTCCACGCCGCGCCCAAATCTGGCAGAGTCACTGTGTTGGAGCATGACCCCGCGGGCCCGCATCCCCGAGCAGGAGACAGGCCAGGCAGGTCCACGGCCACCCCCAGCTTCCGTGGCCTCCATGGCGGGACTCCCTGGGAGCTGGAGTCCCACGGACACCAAAGTTGTTGATGGAATGAAGGCTCCTGGGTCTCCGCCACACAGAGCCTCTGTCTTCCGAAAGAAAGCCTCCCTCCGCCCCTCCATCCAGGAGCCACGCAGGGCCAGGACACGCGTGCACGGAAAGGGAGGCGCAGGGCACCCGCTCCACCACACGGCTGCCCTGATACCGTCACACCGGCCTGACCCACAGCCAGGATGGGGCGGGCCCTTGCTGCGAGTCCCGCCCGGGCTCCGTCGGAGAGCAGTGGGAGTGACAAGGACCATGCACGGCTCCACCAGGACACTGCCGAACAGGGGCCGGGCCAGTGCCCGCTTAGTCATCCTCTTCCTGAAGCCGTCCGCGCTCCTTGCCTGGGCTCTGGGCCGGCACAGTAATTGACGGCATTCCCTTGGGCCCACATCTTGCCCAGGGCCGCTCTGGACAGCCACCTTGGGGTCCAGCCCACAGAAGGGCTGGGGCTGACCCCCGAGAACAGCCACGGAGACCTGACAGCGACCTTGGAGCCCTCCCTAACTGTCCTCCTGAGCGTCAGGGATACCTGCTCACTGTGACAAGGAGGAGCGAACTCCTGCTCTGCCCTAGGACCGCACGGCCCAGGCCCACTCCACCACGCCCGGGGGAGCCCACCCCCAGAGCTGCAGGAGGTCAGATCCAGCTCATGCCAGCTGTCCCCCACACCGGGGGCCTGGACAGGACAGACTTGAGCCTGGCTGGACAGTGTCTGGCAGTCATGTCCCTAAAGGCAGGACCGGGATGAGACCCACGCACACCCCTGCAGATCCGTGACAGCTGGGAAACCCTGCAAGGCAGACACCTGAGCACAGGCACGGCCAGGAGAGACCCCTGGAGACCCTGCCGGCTGGGCGGGGCCACCCTCTGCCCTCCCATCTCACGCCCGTCTGCCACCAGCTCCGCCTGCCCCTCCCAAGAAAGTCAGCCTTCTTCAGACTTCGCTCTCCCCAGAAAAACAGCCGACACTTGACGTGCCCAGGTCTCCTCTCACAGGGAAGCTACTGTCGCCCTCAGGTAAAGGCCTGGCAGCAGGACTAGCGGAGAGGCCTCAGCCGGCCGCCCTCCGGGAGCGCAGTGCTAGACGAGAACAGAATCCACACCGGGAGGCGCTGAGTGATTCTAGGACGCGGCGAAAGGGGAGCCGATCGCGGCCCATGAATAATTCAGGCCGCTCCGCTGCAGCTGGACCGCTGGCTGGCCTGCCAGGGGTCAGCAGGTCCGTCCCCGAGGACCATGGCTTGCCTCTTACCACACGGCCTTGGGCAGACCAGCCCTCGGTGATCTCTCTGTGCAAAGAGAATTCTTAGGACATCCAAGGGCCACCTCCACGACCACCTGCTCCTCTGGAAACGAAGGCCTCTGTTTGCCCCCCCAAGGAGAGGTGCGGTCGGTCCTTAGGGTCCCTTTCAGCACGGTACCCCACAGGCCCATGCCTCCTGTTCTTAGAGCTGGGGAGACCGAGGCACGCAGGGCGTCAGAGACGTTTCCAGGTCCTCCAGCAAGGGCCAGGCAAGACAGGGAGGCTCCCCGCTGCAGCCTTGGCGGCCCGGCCCAGCTTCGGCAGGCTGCTAAGACCTGCTGGGTGGGCACTCGGCCCTCGCTGTCCACACCCGAGGCCTGGCCCTCCTGCAGCAGACCTCTTCTCTCATTCTCACAGCAAGGGAGAGCAGGGGGGAGGACAGGCCAACCACAGGGCCTCAGCAGCCTTCCCTTGCATGGCTCTGTGGTTACCATGACCACGAACCGACGGCGTGTCCCAGAGCAAGGCTGTGGGTGACCGGGAAGGCCTGTCCTAGACCTGCCTGCAGCTCCGCCAGGGCCCACCCCACCCCTGCGCCACTGGGCTACTCACAGGAGACCTGCCTCCACCGCAGGGCCAGCCTGGCGCTCTGCTCGGGGCCACGGCCCGGTGCCAGCATTGTGGGCCCACGCGCTCCGGCTGGCAGCTCTGGGAGAGAGGAGCCCCTTGGCGAGCACTGCTGTCAGTCCTGAGTGAGAGAGAGAGAGAGAGAGAGAGAGCACTGAGCAGAGGCAGGCATCGAGGGAGGTCAGCTTGGGGGGGCCCGGTGTCTCTTTACACTCCTCCTCCCCGCCTGCTCCTCAGTTATGTCTCCCTGATGGGGCAGGACGGGGAGACGGGGCAGCCTGCGTGCTGCCGGCAGTGAGGCTGGGCTGGTGCAGTGTCCTCAGAGGGCCCTCCGGCCACAGGGCTAGGGGTGTAGGCACTGCCAGCTAGCCTCTCCGGACCTCGTCCTGCCTTGCCAGACCTCTGACTTGGACAAGTTCAGAGCACCGTGGTCACCTCCACCCAGGCACGGGGGGAGGTGGAGAGAGGGCTCTCCCGGGCCGGCAGGGTGAGGTCCCAGCCACAGCCACTCCCCCCCCCCCCCCCCC